GCTATTTATAAATCGCAGAGCTTTCAGTTTCTTCCTCATAACGATAAATTGTAGCTGCTGTTTCTTGACCATTTCTTTATACTTGTCATTTTCTTTTTTTACCGTTTCATTACATTCAGTTATAGGTGATATATTTGCTGATAATGTTATAAGCTCCGAGGTGTCATTTATAATAACCTGGAAAAGATTGTACACAATAAATTGTTATAACACTTTCCTTACAGTTATAACATTTTCTTATAGTAAGACTTACTGTTTCAATATTAACTTCTGTATTCTTATCGTCATCAGTTGCTTCTTCATTTGTACATTTGTTGCTTGGTATAATACTGGTTATTTCATTAATGTTATTCTCACTGCTGCCATCATTTTCTGCGTCTTTCGTCAATACTTGCTTTTTTAAAAAAAACCCAAAAATTGTCGGTATCGCATCACGTTTTAATTTATGTTTGCGATTAGCTTCCCACATTTCTGGGGCAAAGTGAACCTATATGATAACAATAGTTTAAATATATAATTCAGTCATAATTTTAAGGAAAGCATAGAAATTTTAGAGTTTATATTTTACATTAATTTTAATTAACATTATAATTTTTATTATAATAATCTAATACATTAATACTAACCTTACAAAGAAAAGAATTGTTTGTTGGTATCCAATTTTCACGCGGAACATTCTGTGCCCATAAAGCCCGGGATCTCTAGGAAATATCTTCATAATATAACCTTTTGCTGTCGAGTTGTTGCAAAACGGTGCTACACATCCACCCATTTTTATAATTTTTTACGTATTTTACTTGCTAACGCTCTTACGCGTGGACTGTCCGTGGACTATGATGAGCGTGCGTGAACCCGTCAAAAGAGGTTAGGTAAAAGAGAAAGATGGCGAATGTATATCCCTCTCTCTCACACGATTTTGACAAAAATCGCTTATGGCCAGACTCTGTTAGAGGGTCTCTAGGGACGTCTGTCCTAATCTGCCCTCTGAGAAAGTGGACATCAACTACGGCGTTACGCTCGGTAACGATCAGAGAGGACTCGGGTAACGATACATGGGTTCGTATCCATGCTATGGTTCGTGTCCGAACTACTCAGATGGAGGGGATATGCTGGTCGCGCAAGCCTTTCCTCTGTCCGTGTATGTACGCTAGGTCCTCGGCAAGCTTCGAGCGGGGAGAGAAGGGCAGACATACGATCTGCTGTCTCTCTTGAGCTGTGACGTTGCCGCTTTGCACGGGCCGGCTTGCCGGCTATACCACGATGCCACGCATTTCAGGTATCGCGTCTCGTGTCTCGCCGAGTGCCGAGTCTCGAGTTGACAAATCGACGATACGCTATACCCGCTATATACGTTACATTTGCTTGTATACAAATTTTAATTTTTATATTTATAATTAAATAAATAAATATATATATATGTATATATATTTGAAATTTATAAATATATAAAGATTGCAAATATAATTAATTAAATAAATATTTGTAAACATAAAAACTAAAATTCGTAAATGTAATGTATAGAAATCACCGTTCTATGCTTTTCTATCTAAAAAAGTCTTACATTAAAAACCTTTACTTTGCATAATAAATTTTAAATATAATATTTAAATGCATACCAATAAATATATTATTAACTATATTAAGGGGATCTTAAAGCAGTCTGTAATACCGGCTTTTTTTCTTAGCACTAATCTTTTAATTGACTTTATAGAAATGCAAAATTCTTGTCTAGAATTAAAGTACGCATCAAAATCTAGGTCATAGTGGTCAAATTTATATCGAAAACAAAAAAAAATTAATATTTTTGTTAATTTTTGGTATACGTAACGACAATATTTGCTTTGTACAAAAATTCCACGATAAATATCCACAAAATTAGACCGGCATGACCTAGGGACAACATTTAAGAACAATATCGTGCAATTAGATCTAAGATTGAAAACCTAGAAAAAAAGATTATTTTATATAACTTTTATATGTGCAAAAGCACATTCAGGTTGACAGGATAAGCAATATTGCGTGTGGCAAGAGATGGCGCAGTAATCGAACAAAGATAGATGCCTCTCGTTAGACAAGGACAGATATAGATATATGACAAGAAAACAGAATTAGAAATGTTGACATTACCGACGTCGAGGAAGTTCAGCCTTCACTTTAGGATCTCCTTAAGAAAAAAATGATAGTTTATAATGTTTCTTGCACTCTTATTAAATTTATTTTACCTATGCATGTTCAAGCGGCCAAATTACGAGCAACAACAGAAGGATAATTGGATAAAAATAAAAACACTTTCTTAAATAAACAATACACATGGGTAACAGTGAGTTCTATTATAATTCTCGTATAGTTCTGAACGTGTTCTAACGTTTATTTCTAAAGAGTTCTGACGATAAGCATTATTTATTCATATTTTAAATAATTTTTATCGACCAAGAAAGACGCATTTACGGGTATGTGGGTGGGACGCTGTAGAAAATTTCGGAGTTCTGGCTTATATAAAATATTTTTCGTACAGTTCTAAGCATACTAAGACAATTTCTAAAGAGTTCCGGGCATTGGCAATGTTGTATAATTTTTAAATAAATTAATAACGCACAAAAGTCAGGAATTTATCGAAAATAGGGTCTTTCTCGAGCGATAAGAATTATTTAAAAAATGAATAAATAATGCTTATTGCCAGAATAAAATGGGACAACGTTAGAACACGTTCAGAACTATACGAGAATTATAGCAGAACTCACAGAACTGCAGAAATACGGCCAGCTTCTCACCTTATTTTCGATAAATTCCTGATTTTTGAGCGGTATTAATTTATTTAAAAATTATACAACGTAGCTAGTGTTTGCTAAAGTTAATAAACAGATATATACAACGTAGCTAGTGGCGGGAACTCTTTAGAAAATGCTTTAGTATGCTCAGAACTATACGAAAAATATTTTATATAAGCCAAAACTCCGAGATTTCGCACAGCGTCTCATCTTCTTCTGTCATGATTACTTTTCGGTTAATATTAATTTTTTTAAATATAACACAAAGATTCTAACGCTCGGAACTCTTTAGAAAATGTTTCAATATGCTCAAAACTACTCGAAAAATATTTTACATAAACCGGAACTCCGAGATTTCAACTGGCATCTCAACCGGTATACTCGTTGCATTGTAATTTTTTTTTAGTAACTTATAATTAATTTTTTTGCTTTTATATGGCAGAACTCTTTATAGAACTGTTATAGAACTATAGATCTTGCAAAATCTGATGAGATAAACTCTTTATAGAACTGTTATAGAACTATAAATCTTGCAAAATCTGATGAGATACAGTGGTGGAACTTGTGTAGGACAAAATGAGACGCTGCGTGAACATAGCGTCTCAGTTTGTACTGACGCGTTTTTTGAAAGAAGCCAGAGCTCTCAATAATTTGTGAGTTTCTGCAAAATGAGACGATAGCTTCACACACACGTTAGGAAGAGAATGTATAAAAAATTATTAACGGAGATATTTTAATTTAAAAGATCATTAAAATATATATTTTTCAGGAATGTTTCAAGAGACACGGTAGTGTCTCGCGCCAAGTACGCGCGAAGCGAGACGCACCGTGACTCTTTTACGCGAACGCATGAGTTGCGAGTATCCGAGATTTTGAGATCTCAATAACGAGTGAACGGATCAATTTCTAAGTAGGTTTGATCGATAGCTTGGCGTTTGATTTATAAATAAGAGTCTTTTTTTTCCGTTACGTGCCCTACGAGCGAAGATATTGCGATGCAAAGTCCAAATGTGGAAAATTTTTTTTTAAGAAACGTCCACGTCGGACAAAAATGGCGGCTGATGTGTCACTTTCCCATTTTTGACACGAGAGTGCATTCGTGCACTGTCGCAGTGCGTGACAGTGACAGTTTTTTACAACCTAGAAAAGGATAAGTGTAAGTGTGTGATAGTCGTGACCGTTGCCGCGTCGTGACAGATAGTGAAATATATATAAGTATTGACCGTAGAGAACTGATGCCGATAGATCTTTAAAAAGGAAGGTGTATCTACAAAATCGTACAAACACGTACGTATATACTGTCTTGTAAAAGTTGTCAAACTGTATGTTTACGCGAGCGTTACTTCTGTAGTAACTTACGATAATTCACTCGTGTACGCGGAGTAAATTATCGTAGTTACTACAAAATCCCGTTTACGCGAAGGAAAATTCTGTTTACGCGAAGGAATTATCGTAAGTTTACTACAGAAGTAACGCTCGCATGTAAACGTAGTAATAAGTGAAATATATAAAGTATTAACCACAGAAAGATGTCGAGGAGATCTTTAAAAGAAGGAAGATATATTCAAAATGGCACACGTACGTATATGCTGTCTTGTAAAAGTTGTCGAACTATATGTTTACGCGAGTGAGTACATCTATAGTAACTTACAGTAATTCATATTAAGATACGTCGTCGTCTCTCAATCAGAAAAACGTAACCTTCACTACTTTCAACGGTGGCTCTTGATTTCCGATCATAATCGTTACTATAAAATCTCCCGTTTACGCGCAGGAATTATTGTATCGTAAGTTACTACAGAAGTAACGTTTGCGTAAATAGGTTATAAAAATAACACGATGTTATATATGTGGTTTGCCGTGAATATATATTGGGTTGGCAAATAAGTTCGTTCGGTTTTTT